ACCAACGCTTACAGTTCGGCCTTAAGATTTGAAACCGCCAGGATCGGGAAGCTGATGGCGAAGACCAATCATCCATCTTCATTTCACATAATAGCTCCTCCAGAAGGAAACCCATGTAAGAACGACGCATCGATGTTTAGTTTGATTCTTCCTTTGGGTTTAATCCACCTCACACTCTTGAAAATAGATGATCACGTCTTGAAATTAGCAGGGACCATTTTTCTTCAAAGAGAACATCACCAATCATTCGAAGCTTCATATTCTCTAGATTTCTCACCCAATTTTGAGTATACATTTTAATCTGCATAATAATAGCATCGGTTGTAGGAACCTTTCTGGAATCTCCTCAAATATTACTAGCATAAATCTTCCACACATGCCAACAAATAATCCCGGGAAGATTATGCTTGAAAATATCCATCATAGTTTTAATTACCTTTCTGAAACCACCAGTTAAGAAAGAATTGTCTAATCGAACATTTGGAATTAGGCAAAGGTATTTGCATCACTCCCAGAAAATATTTGCAAATATCATTCACTTGATTGCACTGGAAGAAGACATGGTTCATAGTGTCGCTATGATTCCTACACAGAACAAATAGAAGGATATATAATCCTCTTGAACCTGATTAGATTGTCAAATATAGGAATGAATCTATTAAATATTTTCCATTGGGACAATTTAATTTGGATTTGTTGCTTAGGATGCCACATATGTCTATAAGAAAAAGTTGATCCTTGAACATCTCTGATTGCATGATATGTTTATTCCTAAAATTGACAGCCCAGACACTTTTGCAAGTTTAAGACCTATCTGTTTATCCAACTTTGTTAGTAAGGTGTGTATCAAAGTTCTTGCTTCCAGATTGATAAAAAATTTGCCTAGAATAATCTCTATTGAGCAGGCTGGATTTATGCAGAATAGAGATATCTCTGAACAAGTTCTTATAGCTCAAGAGATGATGCACTCCATTGATAAGAAAATCAGGGGTTCCAATGTGATGATTAAATTGGATATGGCTAAAACTTTTGACAATCTCTCATGGGATTTTTTGGCCCAGGTCCTGGACAAATTTGATTTCTCTAACAATTTTGTGCAGCTTATCATCAATAATATGAAATCCTCTTACGTTTCTATCCTGGTCAATGGTGTCCCACATGGTTATTTTGAGCCTAAAAGGGGGGTCAAACATGGAGATCCCTTACCTCCATTTCTTTTTATTATTGCTTTTGAGGCTTTCTCTAGGGGTCTTAAATGGCATATTCATCAGAGGTTGATTAAACCTTATTGGATGGGAAATGTGGGTTTTCCTGTATCTCATTTGGGGTTTGTAGATGACCTTCTTATCTTCTTAAATGGGGATTCCAGATCTTTAATTAAGTTTAAAGGTTCCTGAATTCTTATCAGGCTGCTTCTGGTCAATCTGTTAATCTTAATAAAAGTTCCTTTGTTTGTGGGAAATTTGCTAGAGCTAGAATCAGAAACATCAAAGATATTCTTGGCATGCAGTTGGTTCATCTTCCTATTAAATATTTAGGTGTTAATCTTCATAAAGGTATCAACAGATTCAGCTATTGTACCAGTCTTATTAATCAGTTTGAGAAAAAAATTTCTACTTGGAAGCAAAGAAACTTATCTCAGGGTGGGAGACTTATCCTTATTAAGCATGTCTTGAGCACCATCCCTCTTCATATCTTGGCTGCTGATACCCTGCCCAGAAAAGTTATCAACACCTTAGAAAAAATGATGGGAAGCTTCTACTGGGGTTCTTCTGATAACAAACACAAGCATCATTGGATTAAGTGGACTGATTTATGTCTACCTACTGAAGAAGGGGGACTAGGGTTTAGATCTATTTCTGACTTGGAAAAGGCTTTTTCCATCAAGCTCTGGTGGAAATGGAGGCCTGGCAGTTCTTTATGGGTAGATTTTCTAAAAGCCAGATATCCTAGAGGACTAAATTTGACTCCTAAGATAAGTGATTCTCCAATTTGGAGAAGGATTTGTGCAATTGATGATTGTGCCAGTAATTTATGTGAAATTAACCCTGACAACAGGGTTACCTGAGGAGGATGGAGGCTTTTCTTTCAAATCAGCATTTAACATGGTCAGATCAACAAAGGGTTCCACTTTCTCCTTTCAGCATGCCTGGCATCCAAGACAGAGTTTACAGATCAAAATCTTTCAATGGAAAATTTTAAAAGGTATTCTGCCAGTTACAGATAACTTACAAAGGTTTCACATGGTTCTTAATCCCTCTATTTTTTTTGGATGAAATGTAAGTATATATTAACACCCAAAGAAATAACAAGTCAATGTTACAAGCAAAGTGCATATCCCGAAAAAAAGGGATATCACAACGTCAAGACAGGAATCACAAAAAGTCAACAAATTGAACCTAGAGATTCATAGGAACAATTAAACATCAGCAAAAACAGTTCACCAAAATATTAGGAGTATCAAGCTTAACATCCAAAGAAAACATGGAAAGGATTAGTAAACTTTGCGCCAAAATCAACCTCCCCTTTCTTCATAGTAAATCCCTCTATTTGTCCTATGTGTAGACAAAGTGCAAATTATGTTGATCATTTATTTTACACATGCAAAGTGGCCAGGCCAATTTGGTTCTACTTCATGAACATTTTTGGCATTCCTATATCCACTCACTATAACTCTATTAAGAGTATTTTTATGGCTTGGGGGTTCAGAGGTGGGAGTACTAAACTGATGGATATCTTTAAGCACAATTTACCAGGCATTATCTGTTAGCATTTGTGGAGAATCTATTCTAGTATTATTTGAGGTACATAAACTAAGGTTCCTAATTCTGAACACATTATCACTCAAATTAAAATCTATACTCAGGATTGGGTTACCAGTTTCCCCAACCTAAAGATTCGTGCGATAGGTGACATACTCTTCGAAGAGAATTTGATATCTGCAAACTTTAAGCTCAAAGGAGGATACTTTAAGGCAGTGAAAGGGAAGCATCCTATTAAAAATCTGAAACTCAACACTGATGCAAATTATTTACCCGGAGAAGTCACTGGTGGTGAGATTATGCAAGATGCAGAGGGAATCTTAATCTTTGCTACTTCCTTTCTTCTAGTTGCAACCTCCCCGTTGGAAGCTGAGTTATTTGCGGCCTTATTTGCGGTGGACCTGGCGATTTCTGAGGGCTTCTCCAACTTCACGGTTGAAATGGATGCAGCGGTCGCTCTGAGGTATATTGAGGACGGGGATGCGAGCAGATGGAGGGGCATCTTTCAGGAAAGCGTACAAAAAGCAACAAGGAATGGGGTTAGTATTTCCTACTGTGAAAGGGAGTGCAACTGGGTAGCCCACCACCTGGCAGACCAACATACGGTCCAACATCTTATTTTTAAACGGGCTAAAGATTTACCGAACCCGGCTCAAAAGGCCTATTATTCTGATCTGTTTGGCTTTCCTTCTTTTTGTTTTATTTATTGATGTACTCCATTGGATCAGGCCTAACCCCCTCAATGGTTTCTTTTATTTTCCTTTTTCCGGTTGGAACTTCGGGAGCAATGCCTCCTTGGAGGGGTTTGGTTTTGTCCCCCCCCCCCCCCCCCCCTCTCTGTATTTTTAATATTCTTAATAAATTTTGGTAAATGTGTCCCGACATTTACCCCACTTATTTTGGTGGTTTGCCTTCCGGGACTTAAAAAAAAGTGAATTTGCCATCATTTTCCAGCTTCCAGGATATAGCTTGAGGAGAAATATCACACAAAGAAGCAGTCAAATCATTAATAGTACATATACGCTTCCAAATTGGAGAATCAGTGATCTTGGGAATCATATTTCCACCTCTTAGATATTTGGCCTGCATAAAAGAAGTCCACAAGAAATCTTTTTTCCCCACTTCCACCATACTTTCAAGGTACAAGACTTGTTAACATCTGTTAGCCCAATACCTCCTTCATCTGTAGGCCTACAAAGCTCAGTCTATCTCCTCCAATCAAATTTATGTATATTTTGAGAGGAGGCCCAGAAAAAGAAGACATCTTACTTTTCAGGATACTTACGATATTTTTTGACAGGGTATCAACCACAAGGATATGAAGAGGCACATAGTTTTAAACATGCCTAATCAGAATAAGCCTAATCTCCTGAGTTTAGTGCTTTTGCTTCCGGGAAGAAAGTTTAGAGTCAATCTTTTTTATAAGATGTTCACACTAAGCAACCTTATTCATCCCTTTATGAAGATTAACCCCCACTCTACCCTATCACTAAAAGTAAAAAGGAGTAAAATCAAATGAAAGGATAAATCAAGTTATCAAAGGTAACTTGAGAAATTTAAATGTCTTTTGTCATATGAAATATTATATTTAATGGAATTATGAATTTAAATATTGCATACAGCACGTACGCACTCATAAGGTAAATTATATGGTACAGTCGACTGTACCATGGACACGATACAACGTAAAATTATTATTAGTATTAAATTATAAAATTAGTACGCAAATAATTTTTATGAAAATACAATGATAATATAGTCAAATGAGCAAGTTGATTTGTAGCATATATATTACGTGTAGATTATGATATTCAATTGTACATTTCTAATATTTCCTCCGTTCCATAAAAGTTGCAACATTGGAATTTCTTCATTATTCACACACCTTACTTTGACTACGATTTTCTAATAATATATATAATAAAAATATTATGTATAAAATATTAATAAATTTTTGTTAATGTAAATTTCCAATATATTAACTTTTTTTAATGTTTACTGATACGTAAATAAATATAATTACAATCAAAGTTGCGCGTTGGTAAACGTGAAAGTCAAACTGTTGCAATTTTTATGGAACGGAGAATAGTACTAAATTGTGCTATTAATACAGTGATTTAATATAAATGCCCATTTCTTTTTAATGTAATACTCGTTACGTGTAATACGTGTAAGAGAAAATACTCTATTATACGGTGAGTATCCTACAATACAGCGGCTCTCCACTCATAGGGCCAGGGCCCAAATAAATATGACCCGCGTGTTTCGGCCTGAAGGTGCAAGGCTAAAAGTTGAAGGTGCGAAATCACTAACCAAACTTTGTCTGGGGTCTTCTGAGAAGCGAGGATCGGAGCAGAATGGATAGCACTGTCGATGACAGAGGAGTTCCGGTTCCTACGTCGTCGGTGCTGATGGCAGCGTCGAAACACATCGGAACTCGGTGCCTGAGCGAGAACGTGGCGTTCCTCAAATGTAAGAAAGACGATCCTAACCCCGAGAAATGCCTTGACAAAGGTCACCAAGTCACTCGATGTGTTCTCGGCCTGTAAGCCTCTTACTGATTTATGCAATTTTAAGTCCAATTCAGCTAACCTCTATGAGCCAAATTAGTGAAATTCATAATACATTTCTCCTAACAAATGCACATTGTTCTTTACTTATTTAGATTATGTAGGTTTGAACTGATTTTTAATCTTTAGCTGCGTATTTGGTCTTTCTTGATTTCTAGCTTATTATAATTGTTTTTATTCCATCATACTTTTTCTAGATTTAGGCCGCCATCAATAGCAAACAATAACTATTGTAATTAGGAGTGGGCATATTGATTTGGTTTAACCAAACAACACCAAACCGATCAAAACCAAATCAAAACCGAACCATATGCAATTTGGTTTGAGTTTGGTAGTTTTCTTTCAAACCTTATTAAACCGAACTGAATCCTAGGAAAATCGAATAAAACCGAACTAAATTAAAGAAATTCAATAAAACCTTCATATGTTAATACAAAATTACAAATTTAAACCGAACTAAACCGAACCAAACCAAACCGGAAATTATATGGCTTTTGTTTGGTTAATGGTAATAATTCTTCCAACCCGTTCCAACCTGAACCAAAACCGATAAAAATCGAACTGAAAACCCATATGACTACCCCTAATTCTTATCATAAATCTGAACATTGTTTTAAATATACATAAACCTTCAATTTTTATACTGAATTTATTATTAAGTGTGAGACAGAAGGGCAGCAACTTTTGAACTTCAGGGATTGATCATTGACGAACTGCGAAACTCTATATCCTTTTATATTATGTTTAGTTGTTAATCTGTTTTTTCACTATGGGTCATCCAGAAACAGTCTCTTTGTGCTTTAGTACAGGGGTAAGACTGCGTACATCCGACCCCCTTACCCCACTGTAGGTGGGAGCCTTTGCGGCACTGGGGTAAATGAAAATGAAAATGTTAATCTGTTTTTTCATCTCACATCGAATCCAATAGTCTGGTCGTAGTAAGCACAAGCTTATGTTAGAGAACATGCTTGTAACATCATCCTAACTGTCTATTAATGTTGTAACATCAATGTAATAATAATTGGGCGTAATTTCAGTTTTGATTAGGGATATTTTTACTTAGGCTGAAATTTTCTGGTCTGGTCTGATCTGCTGTGGTAAATGTATGTTCTCTGTGTATTTTATAACTATCTAAGTCTAGTTTGATCTGGTCTGGGACTGAAACAGTCCAAGTAAAAACATCCTAGATTGCTCAAAGGCTTAACATATTTAGCTGTTTTGCGACTCCTGTTCTTTATAAATACTTTTCCAATGCCTCCAATACAAACTATCATCGTCATCATCATCAACCCCCATGATGCAACTTTTGTGCTTTTCAAAGCAACTCTTTAACTTTTGAAAAAAGATGGGACTATAATTTGATTAAGTCCGCGTAAATGAGGGGAAGATGGAATGTGGAGGATCGAACATGGTGAGGGGAAACTATTAAGATGAGGGAAATAAGGCACAGAATGTCAGGTCAGGTCTCTAGGTGAATTTGCTTAGTTGGTTTATATGCCTACAATTGAGAGGATTACCATATCTATATGTCTACTTTAATTTGATACTCCCTCTGTCCCGCTAAGATTGTCTCATTTTACTTTTTCGGGAAATCCCACTAAGATTGTCTCATACCATATTTGGTAAAGTTTCTGTGGCTCTTAATCATTCTTACTTTATCAATTTAATATCAACCACATAATCCCACTTTTCTTAATAACCGTGCCAGTGTGCCACCTTCTTCCGTCCCAATGTTAGTGGGACGGAGGTAGTATATTATATTTTTCTTTAACTACAAGGAAAATAAGACTGGATATGGTCATGTTCTGCTTCCAAAACTGTTAAAACCTCAACTGTAACCATGGATAGGATAGTTCCGGTTCTTAGGACCAGCGGTACTGGTTTCGGTTCTGATCTTCATTCACACAGTTACACAATATATTGCTAAGGTGGTCCCGGTTATTGTCCTCCATTCAAGAGAACTGGAACCCCTTATATTTGACAGCATGGTTCTGGTTCATTTTCTCAATTGAGGATCCAGTTTCCTGTCCGGGTCTAATACCACTGCTTCTGGTCCTGGTTCAGAAACATAACCGCGTTCACTGCAATGGGTTGCATTTTTTAATGGTTGCAGTAACTGATGGAAATATGGTTTGTTATTCTTGGTAGGTTGAAATATCTTCATCAAAAATGCACCAAAGAAATGGATGCTTATGCAGGGTGCATGTACTACCACACAAATGAGTTTGAGCTGTGCCGTAAAGAGCAAAATGAGTTTGAGAAGGCTTGCTCATTTTGATGTTGTGGCAAATCACGCTCAGGCAACATCCAAACGAGCAGAAATAAATATGGCATGTTTGTAACAAGTCAATGCAACCTAGTTGAACACATTTAAATGTTTTGTGTCAGGGATTGTCTCTAGGTGAGCCAATGAGCCATCGTGCAACGTTAAACTGTAGAATGTTATGTGTACACTTTGTTTATGAGTGGTTCTTTTTTATCTAGTAAGATATTCAAGCTGCTAATTTGCTGAGAATGAAGTTGTAATAAAGCCTTTGTTGCTTAAGATTCTGCTGATCTCAGCGATCAACAAATAGAACTTGATTCCATACGGCTGCAACTCCCAGCAAGTTTCTATTATTATCAAAAGTCCTTTGGTGTACACGTGCAGTGAATTAAACATAATAGGCTTGATCAGACTAAGATAGTGTTTGCAAACACAACCTAAGTGTTTGCAATAGCTTCTCAAAAGCACTTTTGTGCTTTTTTGTTAAAAAAATCCCAAATTTGTGTGTGCAAAACAGAGCTTCTACTTATTTTTAATCAGATTTACGTGAAAAGCTGGAAGCATAAAAGCTCCATTTGTGCATCGCTTTAGAGATTATGCAAAAGCCACCGATGCATTCGGCATTATGCCTATTTAGGCTTGGACTCGGACCGGTTCGGGCTTGGGCCTAGGCCTGGTCGGGCCTCCGGTTTGTGAATGATGGGTCCGGGACCGGCTCGAGGTAAAGACGGTTCCGGTTCGGGCCGGGCCACCCGCCCGGGTCACGGGTAGGGCCACCCGCCGGGCCGGGTCGGGCTGGGTAAATCCAATTATTATTATTTTTTACTTATGAGGATTTAAGTAAGACTCATAAGTATTGAGTTTGTGCATTTTACCAAGTATTGAGGATTTAAGTAATCTCTATTATGGATGGACTCGGGCCGGGTGGCCCGACCCGGTGGCCCGGTCAGTGACCGGTCCGGGTAGGCCAAACCCGTGGGTTATCCGGTCTGGGCTTGGGTCACCCAAAACAAGGCCCGACCCGACCAGGCCCGGGCCCGGTTCGGGCCAAAACTTTTTTTTTTCAATTTTTTTAAATTTTCGGGTTGGGTTGGGTATTTTGGGCCATTTGGGGTGGTTTGGGGGATTGAGGGTGGGAGGGGGGTTAATTAGGAAGAGGAAAAAAATTGATAATGGGTCCGGCCCGGACTCGGTGGTTACCCGGGCCGGTCCCGGGTCCACCACTTCTGAACCGTCGGCCCGACCCGGACCCGGCCCGGACCCGAGTCCATCCCTAATCTCTATATTGAGGATTTAAACAAGTTTGTGCATAATCTTTGAAAGCAAGACTTTCAGAAAACAAATAAGACAAATTTTCTTCAACAAGTAAGTTAGCCATATCAGTCAAATTTTGTGCATCATTTTATGAGAAATTACCAAAAGGTTGTTGGTTATTAGCAAATCTCGATATTTGAGTTTGCTTCCCCTTTTCGCCGCCTAATTTTGCATACTCCACCGTGTGTTTGGCCTTAAGATGTCTTGCGGCGGATCCGTATTCGCTGGAAATCCCCAAGCTATAATTTTTCTTGCACCACTTGCAAGTTGCGTTTCAATTCCCGGTGTTCGGGTCCTTCCACTTATCAAAACTATTAAGCATTAGTTCAGATTTACTTTTTTTCGTACCGGTTTGGGATGAGGCAGGCTCGTCGGCGTCGTGGCTACCGCTACCCTCCTCCTCGTTGGCGTCGTGGCTCTCCGGAATTACTTCCTCCACATCGTCGTCCTCGAGCTCTTCTTCGTCAATGGTCCTCGGCTGGTCTTGGAAAAACCGACTATTATGTCGGTGCAATTCTTGTTCTAGTTGTTCGTCGGTCATTGCATCCACATCCCTCCTTGCATAATCTGTATCAAAATCATCTTGGCTTTGAGATGAAGAGCCGATATGTGATTTACCTTTGCGGGATCTCTTCCTCGCAAGCTCGTTCGTTCGGTTGCGGTCGAGGTTACCCATATCAACTGAATATCTACCACCTTCCATCTTGGAGATAATTAATATATAACTATATATTAACCGAATAGATAATTAATACTTCGTATATAACTATATAAGTAGATAAGAAATATAAGTAATATAATATATGTAAGTAGATAAATAATATAAGTAGATATATAAATATATAATATATTGGAGAATAAGAGAATTTGAGAAGATGAAGATATTTAGAGAGTGGAGAGTAGGATTTAGGAAGAGTTGAAGAAGAGAGATGGAAAAATGTTTAAGATTAGGAGTATTTATAGTTTTTTTTACCCCACCCCACCCCCACCCTCCCCCACCCCCCAAACTGCCCGGACCCTCCTGCCAGCCCACCTAACGGCTATATAGCCGTTTGGGTAGTAGTCCCCAGCCCACCCCCAACGGCTCTATTGGCCCAAAAACAATTTTTTTTTAAACTAGCCGTTGTGACCCGAGCCCAACCCGGCAAGGTCGGGTCACATTTTGCCGGAACCGAGCCCGCCCCTGCTGCCCCCCCAGTTGGGGTCTACACCCGGTCCCGGACCGTCAGACCGGGCCAGTCCCGGGCCCACACAGTAGCGAGCCGGGTGGCCCTAACCGAATCCATCACTGTGCCTATTGCATTGCGCTCTAGGCGATGCAATAAGTAACTTTATGTGACACCGTCCCCAAGTGTATTTTACTTTTTAGTAAATAATGTAATAAATCTTGAAGGATGATTTATAAATTTACGCGGTTGTAAATTTTTATTAGTTCTTTGCGTGAATAGTAAATTGCACGCGGGGCCCACACCAGGAATGGTGGGCCACCCGATAAATTCGGGACCACATATTATATTTATGTTGGTCTAGATAATATTTATATGGTGATGGATATTATATTTGGGCCATAGTAAGGGCATAGAGTTGACCCGTTGATCAAACGGGCCCAATTACAGGTATTGGTAATTTGTCAAATAACAGCCCGAAAATGAATTTCGAGGACTTCTAAATTAAAGATGGGAAAAGTATATCCATTCTAAGGTCCAACAAGGATTGATAACATGTGTTATATTTTATTTGACCCGATAAAATAAAATATAATTAAAAAAATCTGAGAAATACAACTTTCGAGGCCGAGTGTACACATCGCGACACAAAGGGGTGACCTCCCACATGTGTGGGGGCCAACCCACGATTTTAGCCTTGAATTTGCCTAGGAGAGCCGCACAATAAGAGGGGAAAGGGAGCAGAATCTGATTGGAATCCAAAAACAATAAAATACATGAAACCCTCCCATGTTATTATTGAGAGAAATGCCAAAAAGGCATTCTCAATCACCCCAGCTCATACACTTCGAACAAGCCTTCATTCTTGGTGAGGGGAGCTCTGAAAATACTCCATTTCAATCACCATTTACGCACAAAAACAAAGGAGGAAGAAGAGAGCAAAGTTGAGAAGAAAAGGGAAGATTAAGAAGGGAAAGTATAGGCAATCAAGGTATTGATTTCATTAATCCCATTTCTTTTCTCTAATCCTTCCACATGAGTAAGTGAATCGTGTTATAGACCCCTATTCTTTTTCTTCACCTTTAGAGGTGTAGAATGAGGGGTTGAAAGGTTGGTTTCTATCCAAAACGGATTTAGAGAACAAAGTTGACCGGTTTGTAGGAAAATAACCTTTTAGAGGTTATTTATGTTAATATTGGTTTTATGATAATGAAACCTTATTAGGAACTTGTATAAAGTACTCCTAGAGCTTTCACGGAGTTGAAAGGGTCACCGGAGTTATCGATGGAGTTTCACAAAAGTCGATGGAGCTTCGTCGGAGTTCAACCAAGGAGGGTGTAACTTCATAAGCTTCATTTAAGGTGAGAAAACGGCTTTATGCTTTATAACTTTTGTGTGAGGCATGTGATTACCTAAAGTGATCAAAAATATGTTTTATGAAATGATTAAAGATAATCAAGTATGTGTTATGCCATGATTAGATATAAAACATAGTTGAAAAGCATGTTATATATGTTTGATGATAAAAATGTGATAATTTATTATGTATGATGTTTTAAGGACCCAAAAAGGTATTTTTGGATTCAGGACGTCGAGAAGTACATGTGTAAAAAAATTCACGTTAATCAGAATTCGTTTGGGCGGTCAAACGAGCGTTCACCGCCAAGTCAAAAGTAACAGGGTATGGTGGATACCCGACCGGGTATTAGTTAAAAACGGCTCCAGAAGCCACTACCTCACCATATCCAACCAGGTATGGTGGATACCCGACCGGGTATGGGTAAATACATGACCGGGTATTAATTAAAATTGGCTCCAGGGGCTACTGCCTTAACATACCCAACCAGGTATGGGTAAATACCCGACCGGGTATTGGGTAAAGCACCCTATGGACAGTTTTGAACAAGTTTACGTGGGCCGTTCAGGTGGGAACAGTCCACGTTGATTACTAAGGATTATCATATGACTATAGGGCTAGGTATTGTCCATAGTTGAAGGAATAAAAGGTTAGTTATATCCAGATTAGGATTCGGTAGGACTAAGGTTGGGGTGAGTGCCCTTGTGTGGTAAATGATCCAGAATATCCAGGTTGGGGTCGAGTACCCTTGGACGGTAAATGATCCAGAACACTCCAGGTTGGGGTCGAGTACCCTTGGAAGGTAAATGATCCAGAATACTCCAGGTTGGGGTTGAGTACCCTTGGGCGGTAAATGATCCAGAATACTCCAAGTTGGGGTTGAGTACCCTTGGGCGGTAAATGATCCAGAATACTCCAGGTTGGGGTTAAGTGCCCTTGGACGGTAAATGATCCTAAATACTCTAGGTTGGGTTGAGTGCCTTGGACGGTAAATGATCCTAAAACACTCGGTATTATAGTACAGATGTAGAATATAGCTAGAGAGCTAGACATTTGGGACAAGGATGAGAAAGGTCGAGTAATTAAGGTCTTTATCTCTAAAATACTCTTTAAATGTAAATGACCTACGGGTTAAGTATTTTACAAGTATATATACAATATGTATCATCGGGTGGATGAGTCACATCTATATATATGTATCACCCTATTTTTGGGTCTCGTGTCTGAAACATTAGTTATTCCTCATATAGCCTGCTTGTCACTAGTACTTCTTTTTGTGAAGTACTGACCCCTCCGGGGGCCTCACTATTTTTCAGGTTAAGGCTAGAATCCTACTACCTGCACCTTTGCATAGGGTGATTGTCAAATACGGAAGACATGGTTCGTGCTTCCCATTTCGATTTGAACTTATAATTAAGCTCATGGATGTTTCAAACAATGTTTCTATTAAAACATTTGGGGGCCTGCGTGCCGTGTTTGCCACGTGTGCCTAAATATCAAACATATTATTTCCGCATTTGTTTGATTATGATATTGATGT